AATGTTCTCTCTCTGTGTGTGTCTCTGTCTCTGTCTCTGTCTCTGTCTCTCTCTCTCTCTCTCCCCCCCCAGTTCACCTTGGCCTGTTCCTTTGCCACTATACAGAACCTAGTGTAGATTCACTGCCCCATTGACATGGCAGCCACCAGAAGCCCCTAGGCCAGTAGATCCCAAACTTTGGTTGTCCAGATGTTTTGAACTTCAGCTCCCAATTGTCAAGAATTCTGGGAGCTGAAGTCCAAAACATCTGGGTGACCAAAGTTTGGGAACCACTGCCCTAGGCTCTGCAGATGTTAATATTAAATACACAAGAGGGAACTGCAACAAAATGCCACATTATGAAGTGCTTCCTTTCAAACTGCCAGTCATCAAAAGGGACCAAGAATGGATTCTTGTGGGGAAGAACTATGAGCTTCTTTCATCTCTGGTCGAGCTATAATTCTAACTCATGGAGGTGAACTTTCTGAGGAGGAGAGACCACATCACTATTCACACACATTTTGCATTTCCATGTTGAATTATAAAATTCCTTCTTGGACATCATTTCATTCCATGCATCTGAGGAAGTAGACCAAGCCTATGAAAGCTTATGCTACAGCTTCTTCTGCACAGTTAGTCTTAAAGGTGCTACAAGATCCCTTGGCATACTGATATTCCAGACTAACATGGCTATGTCTCTGAATTCTCAACCAGTTTATACATCTTGAGATGTATCATTTGTTTCTTCCACGGAGTTCATCAGATGCTGTTTTAATATAAGTTATATGTTTTTCAGATAGACAGATAGACTAGACTAGGGGGGTTGCAGACTGCCAGAAATAGTGCAAATTGAGTCCACTTTTAGGGTTAGGGTTAGTGCTAGGGAATCATGGGAATTGTTGTTGTTTTTCTGAGACATTGAGCCTTCTCTGTCAGAGAGCTCTGATGCCACAATAAAATACAGTTCCCATGATTCCCTAACCCTAACCCTTAAAGTGGACTCAATTTGCACTATTTCTGGCAGTCTGCAACCCCTGTGTATCTCCTTATATAAGCCAGGCCTTGCATTGAGATATAAAGAGAAGGGCTCTCTCACAGTCCCATGACCTTCGCAAGCATGGTTGTTGAGGACTCAAGAAAGGGCTTTCTCCATAAATAATAATAATAATAATAATAATAATAATAATAATAATAATAATAAATTATTTATTTATAGCCTGCCCAATCAGAAGGAATCCAGGTGGGTTACAGCAATAACTGCTCCAAGATGAACTCCTTTCCATGGAAGGTTCAGTTGGTCCTCTTCTTCTTGTTTTCCTTTCAGCAGGTAAAGACATCCTTATTTAGGCAGGCATTTTGAATTTTAATTATGGAGTTGTCATGTGTGTACGTAATATGGTCAACTGTGTTTTTTAAATTTTTAATCTTTTAACAACAAAAAAACTATGTTGCAAATGTGTTTTCAGTGGGTTTTAACTATTTTAACCATGCTTTTTTATTCATATTGACATTTAATTCTGTTTTAACTTTTGTAATCAATCTTTTTACTAGTGTTATGATTATGATTGTGATATTTACTTGTACACTGCATTTTCCCCAAAATTAGGGCTCAAAGCAACCTACAGTCTAAAAACACAGTACAATTTAAAAAGTTTTTAAATGTTTTTATTTTTTAAACTATTGTAAGCCACTTCGATCCCATTTTGGGAGAAAGGCGGGATATAAATGCCATAAATAAATAAATAAATAAATAAAATTGTATTCTGGTTTTAAACTTTTTATTGTTTAATCTTGTCTTAAATTTTCTGTCTTGCAAATTTTTAACAATGTGTTTTTTCACTTTCACTTTCATTTGGAAAGCCTGCATGGTATAATAATAATAATAAATAATAATAATACATTTTATTTTTATACCGCCCATTGGTATAGTACAGGGGTGGGCAACCTTTCCCCTTTAAGGGCCGAGGGACTTCAGCTCCCAGAATCCCAGGAGCTATTGGCCAACATGGAACTATTGGCCAACATGGCTGAGGCTTCTGGGAGCTGAAGTCCCTCGGCCCTTAAAGGGGAAAGGTTGCCTACCCCTGGTATAGTAGTTTGAGCATAGAATTTGGACTATGGAGATAGAGGTTCAGTCCCCTGCTCTGGGCAAGTCATACAATGTCAGCCCCAGAAAACCTAGGTTTGCCTAAGAGTCACCATAAATCAGAAATGACTTGAAGGTACTCAACAAGACACTTTGAGTCTCAAACTGGAGAAAAGGTGGAATAGTAATAAAATCATCATCATCATCATCATCATCATCATCATCATCCCCCATTTTTGTTTCTGGGGTTGCTGAGCAGGTTTCATGACCGACAGAGGAAATCCGAATTCAAACAGGAGCCCAAGTCTTAATCTGATGGTGTCAACCAGTGCACCACACTGTCTTCTGGACAGAAGAGATGGCCTGTGGACCTTGTTCACTTTCTGCTGAAAGAAGACCAACATGGCTACTCTCCTACAATGTGCCTTGCACTAGGAATGGAAAAGATTCACCTCTTTGCAGAATAGTATGAGAAGCAGAGAGCAGTGGAGAAAATTCTTCTCAGTTTGTCACGTTGGCGGTGGCATTATTCTGCTAAATTATTCTATGTGTGCTTTTCTGTGTGATAACCACACCGCCGAAACTGTGATTGTTGCACAACAAGCATGTTTTCATATGGGCAGGAGGCAATCCACTTTGCACAGGAGATAATGCTTCCACTTTGCACAGGAGATAATGCTTCTTGCACATAAATGTGAGATTTTGCACAGAAAACCTGCATGCCTTCCTGTGCAGAATAATTCTCCTTAAGACTTCTCAGAGTGAGAATGCAGGGGGAATACTGTGCAGACATCTTTGTATCATCCCACAGCAGGGAGAATATGAAGGAGACTATTCATTCTTGCATGCAAGGATGAGCAATGGGAAGATCTGTCTCCCTATCTTGCACATCTTAGCAAGTGGAGAACAACAAAACAAAAACAGAGCTGTCAAGGCTAGACACAACGATCAAGTGATGGAATGAGGGAGGGAAGAGAAGATGACAAACGTGAGCAACTGTAAACAGTATGTCACCTGGTAACAGGGGTACTTAAGTCCCGCTAATGAAACAGCAATATGTATAGCAAACAGCAGGAACTATGGATTGCTGTGCGGCTTTTAAATGATTTGCACTAATTAGCCATGTCAATTTTTTTTAAAAAACACCCAACCTCAAAAAGAGAAGATGTTAAGAAGGAAGTTAAATACCTTCATAGGTACGTCTTTCTCAACATTTCCAAACAGCCAATTAACGCGGGAAACCTTTCAGCCCAGAAAATTGCACTCGCAGAGTGGGAGAGCACCATTCCCGAGCATCGCCCTAATTAAAATGTAAAGGCGGCTGATCGCAGCATAATTAAACAGAAAGTGTCAGGTGGTCTTTTCTCTTTTTCCTCCCAACTCCATCCTTCACCAACCACTGGGAAAACGGTTAGGCCCAACAGCATTATTGCCTTCAGTGGGGCCTAAAGACGGCCGCCCTGCAGCCTGTCAAAAGAAACTAGGGACCTTATGGTCATTATGGAGATAATATCCTCCCCAAAGGGGCTGCAACTGCAGGAATAAATGGCAAAGGTTTCCATCTCCCACCCCTTTTCCTCTTGAAAAAGCCAAGGCTTTCTTTATGTTCAGCTTTCTTCCTAATTAGCCAGGAACAAAAAGGCATCTAAGGCTAATTAACTCCTGACTACTGTTGTCTATATAAAAAGCATCAGAAACTAGTGTGTGTGTGTGTGTGTGTGTGTGTGTGTGATATATATATATATATATATATATATATATGCTCCCATTTTCTCCATTGTGACACTTACAGCTTCATCACAAACAAGCAAAAAGCTCTGTGTGCTTGTGTTTGGAAAAAGCATTTTTTTATATTGGGACTTCAAAGGAGCCAGAGTTCAACAGTAGAGCAGATGTTTCACACATGTAAAGTGTCAGGATCAATTTGCAGCAACGCCAAGGCAACAGGGCTGCAAAAGACTTTGGCGAGAGCCTACCAAGCCAACAGTTCTTGGCCAGGTGGACAAACATGAAGAATAAGTACAAGTACTTTTTCACTTAGCCCATAGTAAAAGTGGAAAATTGACAACTGAAAGGATGGACAAAGGGTAAGAATAAATACAAGTATTTTTTCACTTAGCCCATAGTAAAGTGGGAAATTGACAACTGAAAGGATGGACAAATGGTAAGAATAAGTACAAGTGATTTTTCACCTAGACCAGGGGCCAGCAACGTTAACGTACCTGGGCCGGTTGCTGGTCCCCAGGTCTTCCACAAAATGGCGGCTGCGACATGCGTGGCGGGAGTGCATGGAAATGGTAGCGGGGGTCAGCGGGCCGAGTGCGGCCCACGGGCCGTAAGTTGCCAACCCCTGACCTAGACCATAGTAAAATTGACAACTGAAAGGATGAACAAATGGTAAGAATAAGTACAAGTATTTTTTTTTCATCTAGCCCATAGTAAAAGTGGGGAACTGACAACAGCATGGATGGACAAATGGTAAGAATAAATACAAATACTTTTTCACCTAGCCCATAGTAAAAGTGGAAAATTGACAACTGCAAGGATGGACAAAGAAGCCCATGGAGCTTTGAAAGCTTGCAAAAATATATTGTGCATTTTGGTTGACCAATAAAGGTATCCCTGTTTGGTGGATTTTTTGTTTGAATTTGCTAAATGGCCAACACAGCTACCCCTGCATGCCCTCTGAACTTTGTTTTGAAGACACATTGTTGGGGCTATTTTTCTGGCGGCCTGATTCAGACTGCTGAATTTCCGTGAAAAGGGGTTTGTGATCTGTAAAGAAAGCTTTCTTACACAAGGAACTGACAAACAAAATAAACAAAAGTAATTTAAAATCAGAGTTTGGAAAAGTTCATTTTTTATTTTTGTATTTTTGGACTTTCAGAAAGCATAACCAGTGACCTTCCAACTCAAAGTTCCTGGGAGTTGTGGAGCCAGTGAGGTGTAGTGGTTTGAACATTGGACTAAGACTCTGGAGACCATGGTTTGAATCCTGGCTTGGCCATGGAAACCCACTGGATAGCCTTGGGCATATCACACTCTCTCAGCCTCAGAGGATGGCAATGGCAAACCCCCTCTGAAAAAACTTGCCAAGAAAATCCCATGGCCCTAGGGTTGCCATGAGTCAGAATTGACTTCAAAGCACACAAGAACAACAAAGTACAAAGAAATATCTCTTCAAAGCTCTTGACAAAATACACTCCTGTTCCCATTTAGTGTTAAATACATCCCAAAGTAGGAAACCATACCTTGCTGTGAATCTCAGCATCACTGCCTCTGATGTTTCCTTGGCAATCTTGTAAAAAGAAGGGGTGACATTTTTAAAAAAAGAAGTATATGGATGGGCATAAAGATTTGTCCTGTTGTCTCTCCAGCTGGATTTAACCTACACTCACTTTCCCTTTGCTACAGAGCAAGGGATAACTCTCCAATCATTTATGAAAACAAAAGTCATATTTAGTTGAGCATCCTTTTGAAGACTCACACAGATCAGCTTCTTCATAGGAAGCCAGGGAGTAGCATCTGTTCAGCATCCAATCGATACCTGACAGTTGTATCTTGTGCTCCCCTGGACGCATCCCTGGTGAATCCTCTCCATCCCTTCCTTTAACTAGCTAGAGATGTCCAATCCTGTCTTTTGATCATTCAGTTTGAGGCTACCACACATTCACAGCCTTTGTCCTTTCAAAAGTAAATAGACAGACCTAAGCAAACTTGGAGGAAACACACATGCACACACACATGCACATCTATGCACTTCACAACCTAAGGAGAAGTAAATGTAAACACAATTGCTTCCAAAGGGTTGTGGTGTCGCTGATTTCTTAAAAACTTGAAGGCACACAACAACAACAACTCAGGTCCAAGAATCTAGAGATGGAAGAGTTAGAAATCACTCCACTTTGCTTTCTTCCATGACAGTCCATGAGGCTTTCATGACATATAGGATGATGAACCACAGGTAAATAACAGAATTTCAGTAAGTACTAAGAGCCAGCATGGTGTAGTGGTTTTGAGCATTGGACTAAAACTCTGGAGGCCAGGGTTTGAATCCTCGCTCAGCCATGGAAATATACTGGCTGCACTTGGACAAGCCACACACCACTTCAGAGGAAGGCAAAGGCAAACCCTCTTTGAAAAAATCTTGCCAAGAAAATCCTGCGATAGAGTTGCCTTAGGGTTGCCATGCATATGTCGTAAACAACTGGAAGGCAATAACAATAATCAGTAAGTCCCCAACGTTTCCCCTAGAACACAATGAGAGAGCATTCATGGGGATATTGTGCTGCTTCTTTCATGTACACAGGTTGCCTGTCCTTGAAAGCAGAAGTGGGTGAGTAGATGCACATGGCAGAGAGGCTGTGCTTTGTCAGTCACCCCTCCTACATCTATAGTACTGTAAAATGCAGCAGTTGGTTTTTCAACCACCTACATTGTCAAGAGCAAATCACACTACCAGCAAGCTTGCAAGGTCACACTTGGCATGTCAAAGCACATCTACACCCACACTGACCAAGGGCTCAATGTAAGAAGAATCTTTTTTCAAAAAAGAAAAGAGAAAGAGAGGAACTCACTACATTCACCCTTTAAAAGGCATGTACAGCAGTTGCGTTTTTGTATTGTTCTTCCAACTGTCAAGTCCTTGGAAGTGTGTGGTGTGGTATATTTTTTGTCATTTCCTCTCCATGCTACCTCTCTCACATGCTACACACTTGACAGGTGGAAATATAGCATCCAAATGATGGATGCCTCAGACATGCAAAAAGCTGCAAATATCTCCATAGTTGTAGGGATTTTAAATATAATTTGCAAATTATCGGGATGCAGGGAAAGCAAGTCATTGGAGGTGTTCAGGGGATAGGTGATTTAATAAAAAGGACATGTGAGTGATGGTAAACTTAGCAACGGATGTATTTGTTTTGCAAAAATTTGGAGGAGGGAGGAAACAAATTTGAACACACCTATTGCAGCAAAGGGGTCTGGGGAGTATACAGATCTGGACACAAGGTGGAATACTGACTTTCATGAAAGGAACACATCAGATAAGATGAAATACATATACATACACATCTGAGTGTTTGTGTCTGCATATATACTTCTGCAAGCCAGTATTCTATAACATTTAGGATGGCAGAATGCAATTTGGAGATTCAAGTTCTAATCCCCACTGAACCACGAAATTCATTGAGTCACATTGGGCTATTTGTTCTTCCTCATCCTGGCCTGCTATAGCCCCATTGTAGGGGAGTAGTTTTGAACAAAATAAATCAGAGTTTGACCTACAACTATATACAGATGATGAAGTGTGACTTGAAAATACATGACTTGGAAACAGCTAAATGACTAGTGTAACAGCAACAAGGGATCCTGTAAGGCTGAAATGTCTGTTCCTGAGCCCTACCCTAAACCTTGACACTGTCTCCACCTCACAACTGCAGCCCTTGTTTATTGAACATTTCTTGTCCTTAGCCTTTTCACATTTTGGATGCTGGACAAAGCATCCTGGACTTTAAAAGCCATTGACTGGACTTACTATGGAGATTTTCATCATCTCATAGGATATTATTCTTATGAAAATAAATGAGGACAGAAAGTTGTGGTCGACTCTGAGCCTGACATAAGAAGTAGTTGCGCTACTGGTTATTTATTTTTACTCTCTATAGTCCTGAATCAAATTCACCACCAAGAATTGCATATCAATTGTTGGATCTGTCTTTTTATATTACAGTGGTCCTTGGTTCCAGGATCTCCTGCGGATAACAAATCCATGTATGCTCAAATCCCACTAGGTATAATTGTTTAGCAAAATGGTGTTCCTTATATAAAATGGCAAAATTAAGGTTTGTTTTGTGGAATTTGTATATTTTTAAAAATATTTTCATGCCATGGATGCTTGAATCTGTGGATAGAAAATCTATGGATAAAGAGGGCTAACTGTATTGCTATACTATTAATCACCCGAGTAAAGTGGTTTCTCTTTACAAATATATGGTTTATTTAAATGCAATCATTCAATATTAATTGTCATCCATGTCCTCTCATCAGAATGAAATGTCCATGGATAGGCTAGCAATAGTAAGATTACAAAAAGTGAGACTACTTCAGACAAGCCACATTATCTGATGAAATCTCCTGATTCTTACATTCTGAATCATTTATGGTCTCCAGACAGCGTAAATATGCATTGGCTGCTGTATTTGTTGCATTCAGTGGCAATTTCTAGCAGCAGCAACAGCAGCATTTTATTTCTATGTAAGGAGTGTTTTAAAACACACACACACAATTCCAGGATACATGGGGGAGGGGGACTCAAACCAAAGGACTTGTACAATTCTGGACTGCAATTCACGTTGGGTTCCTTGGCTTCATGTTGGGTTCCTCTTCATCCTCATTGGATGGCGGGGGGCATGACCACCCAAGAATCCATAGCAAATAGTGAGTAAAGAGACTGAAGAGACCTACTGTATATATTTATGTATAAGTCTAGAAATTTAGGTTAAAAAATTGACCCATAAAACCTGAGACAACTTATCCACAATGTAAGTACTGCATCTTAGCTCTTATTTAAAAGAAGGAACCATCCCCTGGTGAAAGACAAGAATATAATCTGTCCTGGAAGCACCAACCCCCGCTACTCTTTCATCCATCCAGCTTTAACAATGAGCTTAAAGAGCTGTGTCTGCTGGAATTTTGTAAGTTCTTTGACATAGTTTTGCTTTGCTTCATCCTTTAGATCCTTTGCTATGTGCCCCTAAGTTTTACCCTCAGTTTATCCATGGGTCATATCAAAATCCATAATTTCAGCCCCAAAATTTGCCCTTGACGTATACATGAGGTTGACTTATAGTCGAGTATATACGGTATATCTGAAGAGATCTAATCTAAAGAGACCAAATCCACAGAATTATGAGATCTGAATAATGATTAGCCAATTGCCTACCATGCAGTATAGCAGTGGTTCCCAAACACTGGTCTTCCAGATGTTTTGGACCTCAGGTCTCATAATTCCTTATTGCTAGCCAAGCTGGCTGGCCCTTCTGGAAGGTCAAGTCCAAAAAACCCCAGGGAATCAAAGTTTGAAAACCACTGCTATATAGCTTCCCCACGACTCACCATCACTGCTCTTTTTACTGGCTATGTGTCAGGAGGCTCCTTCTAACAATAGAGCTCTTGTTGTGAGAGCTCTTGCTTCTTTATATTAGTGTGGAAGACCCCATAGATGGTCCACAACTTCAATCAGTAACACTTGGTAGACTGTGAAGCCAAGAAAACAATAACAATAATACAGTCGCTTTGAGTCCTTATACTGGGAGAAAGATGTGTGTGTGTGAGAGAGAGAGAGAAAGAGAGAGAGAGAAAGATTAAACCCAGTTATGCACATTGTCTATGACAATGGGAGTGCCAGCACATCTGATAGTCTACTGTCCAAACAAAACACAGAGAAACAGAATGGTTCCCAATTGGCAAAGGAGTCAGACAAGGCTGCATCCTTTCACCCTATCTGTTCAACTTGTATGCAGAACATATTATAAGAAAAGCAGGCTTGGACACAGAAAAAGGAGGTGTGAAAATAGGAGGAATCAACAATCTAAGATATGCAGATGACACATAATACTAGCAAAAAACCTCACAGACCTGGAACACCTACTAAGGAATACCAAAGAAGAAAGTGCAAAGGTAGGCTTAATGCTGAACATCAAGAAAACAAAAATAATGACCACCGAGGACCTTCACAAGTTCAACCTAGACAATGAAGAAATAGAAATAGAAAAAGAATTCCTATACCTAGGACCAAACATTGATAGACATTGGGACTGCAGTCAGGAAATCAGAAGTTTAGGAATGGGGAAGACAGCCATGAAAGAACTAGAAAAGATTCTAAAATGCAAAGATATACAACTCAGCACAAAAGTTAGAATCATACAAGGCATTGTATTCTTTATTCTTCATTACCATGTATGGATGTGAGAGCTGGACAGTTAAGAAAGATGATAGGAAGAAAAT